GGTCGAGTCGGGGGAGGGTCGCTCGCGTGCCCGGGCCGGGTCCCCCGTGGCACCGGCCGGAAAAGGTGCTGGGGGTTTGCCTCTTTGGGGAAACTTTTTTGGATTTTTTTTGGGGATGGGGGCGTCTTCTTGCATCCTGCCCCCTCCCCTCCCACTGCCTGGAGAGGTTTTGTGGGCCCTCTAAGTCGAGGACACCCCCCTTTCCTCAGCTTGACCCTGCTTTGGGGACAGGACCCCCCGCCCGCTGTTGGTTCCCTGCAGTGGGACATGGCCCAGTGGCTCATGGGGCCTGTGGGGCTGGGGACACAGCAGGCTCAGCAGGGCCTTGGAGCTACCCTGTTCTCTAGACTATGGAAGTTGGTGCTTTGGGCCAATCTCTTTTTCCATGTGGAAACTTTCCATGGGGCACAGATCCGCTGCCTGGTCGGCTGGCGATGCTCCGGCCGCTGCGCTCTAACTCCAGGCATGAATTATGCAAAGCCCGGGTTTCTGCTGCTCCCCTTCGCCCATCCCCCTGCAGCCACACGGCTGCCGAAGCATCACAGGAGACATTCCCAGGCCTGAGACCCACACGGGTTCCCAGCCGGGCACCGCTCCAGCGGGACAGGGTTGACCTGAGCCAGCCCCTGGCCCCCCACCTGTTTTCCATCCCCTCCCCACACCTGATGCCGGGAGCGGGAGTTGCCGGCGTTCAGCTCTGGCGTCTGTTCCTGTGCCTGCCACGATAAAAATAACTTAAATTATAAACCTGCCTGAAACCCTGTGAACAAAGTCCTACTTTCCCATTGGTTCCCGGTAGGCCTCTAAATGCCGGAGGGAAGGAGGGAGGCAGCGGGTCCCCACCACACCGTCACCATGGCAATGGGCCCCGCAGCATCGCTGGGGTCTGTCCCCGTCCCTCCTGCGCCCCAGTGACTTGGAGAGAAGAGCTTGAGCCAAGAGGAGCTTGGGCAGCCCGAGAAGGGTTGTTTGAGGGAGGCTCCTAAGTGGCCTCGTGAGTGTGGGAGCGCCCGGGACTGCGGCTCCATGTGGGGAGCCTGGTGCAGCCTCCCTCACCGACTGTCATCACGTTAAATTAGCGATGAGTGAGTGCGTGGGGGGAATCGCTCGCGGCGAGCGGCTCTGCGGATGCCCTGGTGACTCATGGCCAGCACCAGCGCGACGCGCGCGGGGACCCCAGGGCACAGCAGAGTGGGCGGCAGGGGGTAACGCGGGTGCCTGCCGTGCCCTGACCTCGCGTGTCCTCCGCAGGAGGCTGCCGAGAGCTGCAGTCCTGCGAGCAGTGTCTGCAGGGCGCTGCCTCCCGCAACGGCTCGGGCTGCGTGTGGACGGGCTGCGGGGCGCCCGAGCGGCCAGGTGAGCACCGACTTTGTGGGGCTCCCTCTGTGCGGTGCCCGAATCCGGAGGCGGCTCCGCCGTGCTCGCCAGGGTGAGGAGGAGCAGAGCCTTGTGCGGGCCCAGAGCTGGCACAGGCTAAGGAAGGGTTTAACCAGAGCTGGGGCTGCGCTGGGCTGAACGAGCTTCCCAGAGGTCACGTTTTTATATTTAGTTGCCAAAATGAGCTCAGAAACCCTGAGTCCCTCACCGGGGCAGCTGCCTCTCATGGCCAAGGTCCCATTGTGCCCCGTGGGGTCCTGCAAGCTCTGACCTTCCAGCCCGGCTGCCTGCCAGTCCCATGCCTGGAGTGTAGGATTTCGGCATCTGCTGCCTCCAGTCACACTGGGCTCAGGGAATTGCTGGAAACCCTCCAGCTCCTGGTCCTGGAGCACAGGGAGAAGCCGAGGGAAGTGCTGGGTGACTGGAGAAAGCCAAGTGTTTAAGAAGTGTTGGTCCCGGAGGCTCTTTCCCATGATGTGCACCCACCTCTGGGCACTGGGGCGGTGAGTGCCGGGTCCGTGTGGGTGAGGAAATGGCTGGAGCCGCAGGTCGAGGGCTTGGTGCTGTTGAAGGATCCATAGGGATGCGCCGGGTGGCAACGCTGCTCGCCGTCCCC